TGGCTGTAGTGGATACAGTGCTGGGAGTCCAGGGTGAGGAGCCAGCCAGGTGTGTATTGGGTTATCATCACAGACACTGTGTGTATCAGGGGTTAACTGTAATAACCCAGGATCACTACATCACTGTGTCAAGATTTATACATAGAGATATATATATATATATAGTGTGTGTGTGTAATATTATATATAGTGTGTGTATTATTATATATAGTGTGTGTGTGTAATATTATATATAGTGTGTAGTATTATATATAGTGTGTGTATTATTATATATAGTGTGTGTAGTATTATATATAGTGTGTGTAATATTATATATAGTGTGTGTAATATTATATATAGTGTGTGTATTATTATATATAGTGTGTATTATTATATATAGTGTGCATTATTATATATAGTGTGTATTATATATAGTGTGTAATATTATATATAGTGTGTGTATTATTATATATAGCGTGTAATATTATATATAGTGTGTATTATTATATATAGTGTGTGTGTATTATTATATATATATATAGTGTGTAATATTATATATAGTGTGTGTGTGTTATATATAGTGTGTAATACTATATATAGTGTGTATTATTATTATTATATATAGTGTGTAATAGTATATATAGTGTGTATTATACATAGTGTGTAATGTATATAGTGTATATAGTGTGTATATAGTGTGTATTATTATTATTATATAGTGTGTGTAATATATATAGTGTGTATTATTATATATAGTGTGTGTAATATATATAGTGTGTATTATTATATATAGTGTGTGTATTATTATATATAGTGTGTATTATTATATATAGTGTGTAATATTATATATAGTGTGTATTATTATATATAGTGTGTGTGTATTATTATATATATAGTGTGTAATATTATATATAGTGTGTGTGTGTGTGTGTTATAATATATAGTGTGTAATACTATATATAGTGATTATTATTATTATATATAGTGTGTAATAGTATATATAGTGTGTATTATACATAGTGTGTAATGTATATAGTGTGTATATAGTGTGTATTATTATTATTATATAGTGTGTGTAATATATATAGTGTGTATTATTATATATAGTGTGTGTATTATTATATATAGTGTGTAATATTATATATAGTGTGTAATATTATATATAGTGTGTAATATTATATATAGTGTGTATTATTATATATAGTGTGTGTGTATTATTATATATATAGTGTGTAATATTATATATAGTGTGTGTGTGTGTGTGTTATAATATATAGTGTGTAATACTATATATAGTGATTATTATTATTATATATAGTGTGTAATAGTATATATAGTGTGTATTATACATAGTGTGTAATGTATATAGTGTATATAGTGTGTATATAGTGTGTATTATTATTATTATATAGTGTGTGTAATATATAGTGTGTATTATTATATATAGTGTGTATTATTATATATAGTGTGTGTATTATTATATATAGTGTGTAATATTATATATAGTGTGTATTATTATATATAGTGTGTGTGTATTATTATATATATAGTGTGTAATATTATATATAGTGTGTGTGTGTGTGTGTTATAATATATAGTGTGTAATACTATATATAGTGATTATTATTATTATTATATATAGTGTGTAATAGTATATATAGTGTGTATTATACATAGTGTGTAATGTATATAGTGTATATAGTGTGTATATAGTGTGTATTATTATTATTATTATATAGTGTGTGTAATATTATATATAGTGTGTAATATATAGTGTGTATTATTATTATTATATATAGTGTGTGTAATATTATTAGTGATGTCCCGAACGGTTCGCCGCGGACTCATCATTGAGTAAACTTTGACCCTGTACCTCACAGGCAGCAGACACATTCCAGCCAATCAGCAGCAGACCCTCCCTCCCAGACCCTCCCACCTCCTGGACAGCATCCATTTTACATCCATTGTGAAGCTGCATTCTTAGTGAGCTGTCCAGGAGGAGGGAGGATCTGGGAGGGAGGGTCTGCTGCTGATTGGCTGGAATGTGTCTGCTGACTGTGAGGTACAGGGTCAAAGTTTACTCAATGATGAGTCCATGGCGAACCGTTCGGGACATCACTAAATATTATATATAGTGTGCAATATTAGATATGTGTAATATTAGATATAGTGTGTAATATTAGATATAGTGTATATTATAGTGTGTATTATTATACATAGTGTGTAATATTATACATAGTGTGTAATATTATATATAGTGTGCATTATTATATATATATAGTGTGTGTGTGTGTGTATATAGTGTGTAATATGATATATAGTGTGTGATATATATAGTGTGCGTTATTATATATAGTGTGTGTGTATATAGTGTGTAATATTATATATAGTGTGTAATTTTATATATAGTTTGTATTATACATAGTGTGTATTATTATATATAGTGTGTAATTTTATATATAGTTTGTATTATACATAGTGTGTAATATATATATATATATATATATATATATATATATATATATGTATATAGTGTGTAATTAATTAATATATATATATAGTGTGTGTAATATTATATATAGTGTGTATTATTATATATACTGTGTGTAATATTATACATAGTGTTTATTATTATACATAGTGTGTAGTATTATATAGTGTGTATTATTATATATAGTGTGTGTATATAGTGTGTAATTAATTAATATATATATATATATAGTGTGTATTATTATACATAGTGTGTAATATATAGTGTGTGTAATATTATATATAGTGTGTATTATTATATATAGTGTGTGTAATATTATACATAGTGTTTATTATTATACATAGTGTGTATTATATATAGTGTGTAGTATTATTATATAGTGTGTATTATTATATATAGTGTGTAGTATTATTATATAGTGTGTATTATATATAGTGTGTAATATTATACATAGTGTGTAATATATAGTGTGTAATATTATATATAGTGTGTGTGTGTATTATTATATATAGTTTGTATTATACATAGTGTGTATTATTATTTATATATAGTGTGTAATATTATCCATAGTGTATATAGGGTGTATTATTATTATTATTATTATTATGATATATATATATATATATATATATATATATATATATATATATATAGTGTATTATTATTATATGTAGTTTGTAATATATATAGTGTGTGTATTATTATATATAGTGTGTGTAATTCCAGTTATCAATGTGACTGAGGACAAGGCAGCCTCCGCCTGACCAGGAAAATGTGGCAAACCACTGCTAAACAGTTTCTCATGGCAACCCCCTGTAGTGGTTATGGTGATTAGGGCATCCTTTAAAATAGACTTGTCTTTTAGTGTGATACTTCGCTCGTTCTACTTATTTTTCGACTTGTTTCAATGTATATTTTGCTTAGTATGATTCATACTACGCTCTTGTTCCTAGTTATTTCAGGGGACAATGTGATTAGACGTACAAGTCATCCAAAAGAATAATAACCAGGTGCCAAATCATCGGACTGACTTGGCCATGAGGACCAAGAATTGGGACCGGATGACCGAGAGGATTTTGGATCTCACTCTGGAGATCATCCACCTGCTGACTGGAGAGGTGAGGGATTCTGGGTAATGTCATTCTGGAGATCATCTACCTGCTGACTGGAGAGGTGAGGGATTCTGGGTAATGTCACCATGGAGATCATCTACCTGCTGACTGGAGAGGTGAGGGATTCTGGGTAATGTCATTATGGAGATCATCTACCTGCTGACTGGAGAGGTGAGGGATTCTGGGTAATGTCAGTATGGAGATCATCTACCTGCTGGCTGGAGAGGTGAGGGATTCTGGGTAATGTCAGTATGGAGATCATCTACCTGCTGACTGGAGAGGTGAGGGATTCTGGGTAATGTCAGTGTGGAGATCATCTACCTGCTGGCCGGAGAGGTGAGGGATTCTGGGTAATGTCATTATGGAGATCATCTACCTGCTGCTGGAGAGGTGAGGGATTCTGGGTAATGTCATTATGGAGATCATCTACCTGCTGGCTGGAGAGGTGAGGGATTCTGGGTAATGTCACCATGGAGATCATCTACCTGCTGGCTGGAGAGGTGAGGGATTCTGGGTAATGTCATTATGGAGATCATCTACCTGCTGACTGGAGAGGTGAGGGATTCTGGGTAATGTCATTATGGAGATCATCTACCCGCTGACTGGAGAGGTGAGGGATTCTGGGTAATGTCATTATGGAGATCATCTACCCGCTGACTGGAGAGGTGAGGGATTCTGGGTAATGTCATTATGGAGATCATCTACCCGCTGACTGGAGAGGTGAGGGATTCTGGGTAATGTCAGTATGGAGATCATCTACCTGCTGGCTGGAGAGGTGAGGGATTCTGGGTAATGTCAGTATGGAGATCATTTACCTGCTGCTGGAGAGGTGAGGGATTCTGGGTAATGTCAGTATGGAGATCATCTACCTGCTGACTGGAGAGGTGAGGGATTCTGGGTAATGTCATTATGGAGATCATCTACCTGCTGACTGGAGAGGTGAGGGATTCTGGGTAATGTCAGCATGGAGATCATCTACCTGCTGACTGGAGAGGTGAGGGATTCTGGGTAATGTCAGTATGGAGATCATCTACCTGCTGACTGGGGAGGTGAGGGATTCTGGGTAATGTTACCATGCAGATCATCTACCTGCTGACTGGAGAGGTGAGGGATTCTGGGTAATGTCATTATGGAGATCATCTACCTGCTGGCGGAGAAGTGAGGGATTCTGGGTAATGTCACCATGGAGATCATCTACCTGCTGGCTGGAGAGGTGAGGGATTCTGGGTAATGTCATTATGGAGATCATCTACCTGCTGGCTGGAGAGGTGAGGGATTCTGGGTAATGTCATTATGGAGATCATCTACCAGCTGACTGGAGAGGTGAGGGATTCTGGGTAATGTCATTATGGAGATCATCTACCTGCTGGCTGGGGAGGTGAGGGATTCTGGGTAATGTCAGTAAGGAGATCATCTACCTGCTGACTGGAGAGGTGAGGGATTCTGGGTAATGTCATTATGGAGATCATCTACCTGCTGACTGGAGAGGTGAGGGATTCTGGGTAATGTCACCATGGAGATCATCTACCCGCTGGCTGGAGAGGTGAGGGATTCTGGGTAATGTCATTATGGAGATCATCTACCTGCTGAAGGCAAAGGAGAGGTGAGGGCACGTCACCATGGAGATCATCTACCCGTTGACCGGAGAGGTGAGGGATTCCGGGTGCGCACGCGTCAGTATGGAGATCATCCACCCGCTGGCCGAGAAAGTGAGAGGGATTCCTGGGTAATGTCAGGCATGGAGATCATCTACCCAAGCTGGCTGAGAGGCGAGTGGACCCTGGGTAATGTCATTATGGAGATCATCTACCTGCTGACTGGTGAGGTGAGGGATTCTGGGTAATGTCATTATGGAGATCATCTACCTGCTGACTGGAGAGGTGAGGGATTCTGGGTAATGTCATTATGGAGATCATCTACCTGCTGACTGGAGAGGTGAGGGATTCTGGGTAATGTCACCATGGAGATCATCTACCCGCTGGCTGGAGAGGTGAGGGATTCTGGGTAATGTCATTATGGAGATCATCTACCTGCTGGCTGGAGAGGTGAGGGATTCTGGGTAATGTCAGTATGGAGATCATCTACCTGCTGGCTGGAGAGGTGAGGGATTCTGGGTGATGTCATTATGGAGATCATCTACCTGCTGACTGGAGAGGTGAGGGATTCTGGGTAATGTCAGTATGGAGATCATCTACCTGCTGGCTGGAGAGGTGAGGGATTCTGGGTAATGTCATATGGAGATCATCTACCTGCTGACTGGAGAGGTGAGGGATTCTGGGTAATGTCACTATGGAGATCATCTACCTGCTGACTGGAGAGGTGAGGGATTCTGGGTAATGTCAGTATGGAGATCATCTACCTGCTGACTGATTTTATTTTAGTGTTTTTGGGGGTTTTTTGTTTTTCAGTTTCTTCTGTTCTATTAGGATTGGCTACAAATGTAACTTTGATAGTTTATGGCACAAACCTTTCCATAATGAACAATCTAGCACTTATTCAAGTGAATGGAAGCTGCCAGCTAGCATGTATTAGAAACGAGTGACCATGCATGCGTGTCATCATCCAGTGTGTGTAATTGGAATAGTCCAGCCAGAGCCACCCCTGTTTTGGAGTGTATAAGATAACTCCAGCTACCTTTTTGGGGTGTATTTAGTGGGGTTTGAGACTAATCACCCTAACCCCCATATCACAGTATATTTAGTGAATTTGGGACTGGGCATCTTATAACCCAACTCAGTAACCACTATAGCACTGTCGTGTTTATGGTGCCAGGATTAACCTCCATTGCCCCAGCAGTGTAGGTATTCAAACTGTTTACTAACAGTCTGACAACTTACCTGATATCTGACGGGTGCTGGTCACCTCCTTAATTTGAGGAGAGCTTATGGAACCAAGTAGGAGCTTCTGGCTCTCAATAAAGTCCTGCTGTGCAGAACCAAGCCTGGCTGCATCCATTGGACCCCAGGTAAGTTGTCAAACTATGTAAAACAGGAGGTAGGTGCAGCGCCTAGATAGTCCTTATGGGTGTTTATGCAACAAGAAGAAGAAAAACCAGAAGGAACTTATGGTGTAGTATATAAAAACTATATTGAGAGTATAGATAAAGTAAAAATGTGCAATCAAACTTTTTTATAGCTTAAATGCAGTTCCACCTTTTGCGCCTGGACGGAATAATCCCCACCTAAGGACATAGTATAGTGCTGATTCTTCGTATAGTTGTAGTAGTAGAAGGTATCCTTATAGAAATAACACAGATACAAATCATAATATAGTCTAGTATATTGAGCTATGGAGCAGGGGTAGATATATATATATATATATATATATATATATATATATATATATATATATATATATATATATATATATATATATATATATATATATATATATATATATATATATATATATATATATATATATATATATATATTGCACTCACATGAAATGGAGCCCCAGATTTAGATCTAGAAATAGCGTGTGAAGTGGTATAGGTGTAGTAGGTCTTTCTGTGGGTATAAATATAAAAATAAACAAATAAAACCACAATAGTGTGCACTGTAAATATGGAGTGTAAAGCACAATAAAAACATAAAACACCTACTTACATGCCTTAGAGCAAAGTACGGTTTGCTCAATCCAGTACGCTTAGGTGGTATTATCCCCACCAACGATGTGTAGCCCAGGAGTTCAGCAGCAGGAAAACAGGTTCAATAAAAAAGTATTTTTATTTAAAAAAACTATAAAACAGTAACAAGATAAAAAATAATAGATAAAACAGTATGAATGAATTAACAGGTTTCACCTAAGAATTGGCTTTCTTAAAAGTGTTTGTTGGCAAACTGTTAGTTACATGGAGGAATGCCAGGGCACACTCCAGCATACTGTAGTGGTTATTGTGATTGAAGTGTTCCTTTGATATAAATTATTTTAGTGGGTTAGGCACTGGTCATCCTATTAAACAACTATTTGTTCCCTTTCTCATAAATTTGGGGATGACAAAGGGAAAGGGTGGGCCTCAGTGACTCCCGCTGTCTGGTATATAGACCTGATCCACAAACTGTTAGTTACATGGAGGAACATGTCTGGTATATAGACCTGATCCACAAACTGTTAGTTACATGGAGGAACATGTCTGGTATATAGACCTGATCCACACACTGTTAGTTACATGGAAGAACATGTCTGGTATATAGACCTGATCCACAAACTGTTAGTCTTATGAGGAACATGTCTGGTATATAGACCTGATCCACAAACTGTTAGTTACATGGAGGAACATGTCTGGTATATAGACCTGATTCACAAACTGTTAGTTACATGGAGGAACATGTCTGGTATATAGACCTGATCCACAAACCGTTAGTTACATGGAGGAACATGTCTGGTATATAGACCTGATCCACAAACTGTTAGTTACATGGAGGAACATGTCTGGTATATAGACCTGATCCACACACTGTTAGTTACATGGAGGAACATGTCTGGTATGTAGACCTGATTCACAAACTGTTAGTTACATGGAAGAACATGTCTGGTATATAGACCTGATCCACAAACTGTTAGTCTTATGAGGAACATGTCTGGTATATAGACCTGATCCACAAACTGTTAGTTACATGGAGGAACATGTCTGGTATATAGACCTGATTCACAAACTGTTAGTTACATGGAGGAACATGTCTGGTATATAGACCTGATCCACAAACTGTTAGTTACATGGAGGAACATGTCTGGTATATAGGCCCGATCCACAAACTGTTAGTCTTATGAGGAACATGTCTGGTATATAGACCTGATTCACAAACTGTTAGTCTTATGAGGAACATGTCTGGTATATAGACCTGATCCACAAACTGTAGAATGACTGATGGACGATAGACAAGTACACCATCCCAGTGAAGTGGGGTCTTAAATATAGTTTCTGTGTGTTTTTGGGGGTGGAGACAGAGATGATAGATCTGTCTGTAAAGTCTGACTGACAGTTCACTATATAGGCGAGAGGACATTAATGTTGGTTGTTTTGAACAGAAAGTAATACAAGAAGTTATGTTTGGTATCTAGTGCTTATTGAGTTTAAATAAGATTTGAAAATAATTTAACATAATCCGCATTGTACATTTACTTTCTATAGTATTATCCAATGCTACAACAAATCCTTTAGTGGCAGAGACACGTAATACAGAAGTAGATTTTGTGATGCACAATGATGTGATTTGTTAGATAGAAGGGTCCATTGAATGAATGTTCTCTGGTCCCAAGTGCAGAATGTATCCTTTAACGGTTTCACTTTTCTTAATGGGATTGTACCAATGTCTTTGTCAATATCTAGAATTATACAATAGCGAGGAAGCCTGGGGAGCGTTTGACATTTGGCCACAGCCCTTGTTTGCCAGGAATTCTCTGCAAGTCCCAAAGCCCCAGCACAGTACCTCCACATCACACGATACATGAGAAAAACAATGACCAGAAGATCCTGGAACTGACCAATCAGATCATCCACCTGCTGACTGGAGAGGTGAGGCTGCTGAGAATGGGACATCATAGAGTAAAACCAAGGGATGTGTCTGGATGGTGACTGTATCATTGTGTTTGTCAGGTTCCTATAAGGTGTGAGGATGTCACTGTCTATTTCTCCATGGAGGAGTGGGAGTATCTGGAAGGACACAAGAATCTCTACAAGGATGTGATGATGGAGACCCACAAGACCTTCAGCTCAATGGGTAGGAACTATTTTACAATGCAGTGTTCATGGCATATATGTAGCAGATGTCATCAAATGTGTAAACAAGACACTAGCGCTCATTACAAACTTCAGGGAATTAAAATAAAACAAAAAACAATATAAATTTATATATACCACCATATTGTTTACATGGGCCTAATTAGGAACTTCTCCATTCCGAACATTGCTGCATAAATAGGGTTTGTAACCTAACTCACTGAAGAAACTGTTAACCTTATATCCATTCATAAAACTTATGTAGATGGCACTGTATTCCAGGAACTGGTGGCAGGCTCAGGTGAAATGCCGCTGCTTAAGATACAAGATTCTTTTTGATTATTATGTAAACAGTATTGTACATTTAGGACTAAATCAGGACTCCTCTTGATGAAAGTTCATAGTAAAAGAGATTCCATCAATAATATAAACACGATGAGGGACATTATGGCTTTGAAACTTTGCTTTGTTGCTAAATAACAATTTCCCCCGCCCCCAGAAATACTGTTACATGTTACGTAATAGATTGATGACATTTTGACAGTCAAGCAATCTATTGTTTGATGTTTAATAGCCTATAGCCACAATATCACCACAAATCACATGAGACTGAATGCTCATCTAACCACAGACAAACTTTTCATTAACAAGCAGTACTTCCCCGTTAGCCCTTTCACTGAAGGCTGGGAGTACCGACTGTGCCTGAGAGACCCAGGTAAGTGTCAAGCCGTACTGAAACAGTTTGACTCTCTGCCATGGGACTGCGCCAGGAGACTGCTGTCATTTGTGTTGAGAATCTTCAGCTAATATCCAGCTTTTATTCTAGTAAATGGCATAGCCCCTGAATTTGGACAAGTTTTAAAATGACTGGATTTCAGATCACCTTATCTAAATATAATACACTTTCACCAAGAAAAGTTCCCCTCTAAGTCGATGGAATCCCATGTTAAATACATGAAAATACAAATGATCAAACAAATAACTTTAATCTACTATTTGAAGACAAGTTATCTTTTAATTTCCTGTACAGACTAGCAGGACACCCGTTACAGATTTTCTAATATTATTCTTGTATTAATATTACTATATTTATATAGCGCGAACAATTTCCGTAGTGCTTTACAGTGGGTAAACTAACAAATGTAATTGTAACTAGACAAGTTGGACACACAGTAACAGAGGGATTGAGGGCCTGCTCAGTGAGTTTACATGTTAGAGGGAGTGGGGTATAGTGACACAGTAACAGAGGGATTGAGGCCCTGCTCAGTGAGTTTACATGTTAGAGGGAGTGGGGTATAGTGACACAGTAACAGAGGGATTGAGGGCCCCTGCTCAGTGAGCTTACATGTTAGAGGGAGTGGGGTATAGTGACACAGTAACAGAGGGATTGAGGGCCCTGCTCAGTGAGTTTACATGTTAGAGGGAGTGGGGTATAGTGACACAGTAACAGAGGGATTGAGGTCCTGCTCAGTGAGTTTACATGTTAGAGGGAGTGGGGTATAGTGACACAGTAACAGAGGGATTGAGGGTCCTGCTCAGTGAGTTTACATGTTAGAGGGAGTGGGGTATAGTGACAGTAACAGAGGGATTGAGGGCCTGCTCAGTGAGTTTACATGTTAGAGGGAGTGGGGTATAGTGACACAGTAACAGAGGGATTGAGGGCCTGCTCAGGAGTATACATGTTAGAGGGAGTAGGGTAAAGTGACACAAAAGGTAAGGGAAGTATTAGAGAAGCTGATTGGTAGAATAGTATTCAATGAAGACTTAGTGTGGGGTTTTGGAGTCATTAACAGTTTAATTGATACGCGTTTGTGAAAAAATGCGTTTTTAATGATTGTTTGAAGGAGTGGAGAGTGGGTGAGCATCTTCTGGAAAGGAAGTTCCATAGGAACGGTGCAGCCCTAGATAAGTCTTGAAGTCGAACATCAGAGGTGGAATTATGAACAGAGGATAGACGCGGGTCTTCGGCAGAGTGTAAGGGCCTAGACGAGACATACTTCTGTATTAGGGAGGATAGATAGGTGGGAGTAACGTTATGTAGATATTTGAAAGCAAGAACCAGAATTTTATATTGAACCCTATAGCTTACGAGAAGCCAATGCAGGAACTGACAGAGGGGTGAGGTGTGGGAGGTAAATGATGCTTATAAAATCTAGACCATAATTATATGAAAAATTCATGGAAGATCCCTTTTAGGCCTCGATTTAATATGTTGGATAAACTTTTAAAATGATATCATAATTCTACAAAATGAAAATACAATATAATTTTGTAATATTATAATTGTTGATATATATATTTTTTTTATATGATGTATTTTTTGATATTTTAATACTTTGAAAAAATCATTTTAAACGTTTATCAAAAAAAATGTACCGGTTAGTTTCTCTAATAGTACTGATTTGTTGAACTGTTTTGGTCTTATAGGGATACTCCAGGCAGCGAAAAAAGTTAAGATTAAATTAAAGTTAATAAGTTCAGAATACCTCTGGTTAGTTTCTCTTCTTTCAATTCCGTGTAGTTTTCCTGCAGTGCTGTAAAATGTTTTGCTGTTTTCAGCAGTGTAACCCCGCCTCTTTAGCCACCCCCCTCTCACATTTCAACATGTTCCTGATTCCCAGTCTCTAAAAGAAACATACCTTTTGCAGCCAATAAGAATAGAGGCGTGTCTTATCTAGTGTAAGGAATACTCACAGCACAGACTGCACTGCAACTACAGCCCATATGTGCTCCTCTCCCTCCCCCCCCGTAATACAAGTAATAAATTCCCCTGTAGTCCCTGCCAGCCAACCTCATTACCCTGTGTTAACTCCTTCCCTGCCAGCCAACCTCACTACCCTGTGTTAACCCCTTCCCTGCCAGCCAACCTCACTGTGGCAAACCTAGCCACTCGGACTATAACTGGACACTGTGCCTTTAAGGGTTGCCTATAGGTCTGGAGAGAGATGCATTGTACCTGTATGTGCCTGCTTCATGTATTCCCTGCATTGCCTGTACCTATCTGTTCCGCCGAATGCAAATGGCGGTTTGTATGGGGATTCCCGTTCGTTTCGCGAACGGCACTTTGGAGGGCCGTTCGTGAAACGAATGCGATACCCCCTAATAGCCCACACACTTAGAGGCGTGTGGCGCTAGTTAACCGATTGCAACATTGTTGCAATCGGTTATTAGAGGCTCTCCTGGGTGGCCGTCGTTCGACTACCGACCATGCGGCGGGCGGCCATCTTGGATCCCTGGTTCGTCAGCGGGTCCGTGTCGTCGAACGCATAGCATTCCCACAGTCATTCGACGGCACGAACACCGTTAAGCCTCCAGGACGTTCGGGAGTTTCAGGACCAGGTTCATTAAAGACAATCGGTTCTTTTCATGTGTTTTTAAAGAAAGGTGTTTTCTGTGCGGCGTTCGGTTATTTTAGCTGGGATCTGAGCGGCAATCTCACGAATGAGGCGCCCAGACCCCAGCTATCTACCGAACGTCCATTCGTGTAAATCCACCGTATATTGTACCAACGGTGGATTTTTGTGTGAATTGCCGGTTCTGCTGCACGAGGGGAGAATCCCCTTAACGGTGCATTCTGGGAGGGTGATCCCTCTCGTGCAGCGGTGCCTGATGGGAGAAATATGCAGTACAGTAAGTCCCCCATGTAGTCCCCTCCTGTACAACCCCTGTAATGTCTGTTTGGAAACCCCTTGCATGGGGAATTGCATAAATACTGTGACCTGTGATTAAAACCTCAGTTGACTCCCAGCCTATGTGTCGTCTAGTTCTTGGGAAGGAAGGGTTACTACAGTGCTGTTTGGATTATTATCTGCTGATTCCCTGGATTATCCTTTGTTGTTCCTGTTACCCAGCGGAGATATCGTGGATCATACTGCCTCTCCGCTACACTCACTACCCTGTGTTAACCCCTTCCCTGCCAGCCAACCTCACTACCCTGTGTTAACTCCTTCCCTGCCAGCCAACCTCACTACCCTGTGTTAACTCCAGCCAACCTCACTACCCTGTGTTTACTCCTTCCCTGCCAGCCAACCTCACTACCCTGTGTTTACTCCTTCCCTGCCAGCCAACCTCACTACCCTGTGTTTACTCCTTCCCTGCCACCCAATCTCCCTACAGAGTGTTAACCCCTTCCCTTCCAACCAACCTCCCTACCCAGTGTTAACCCCTTCCCTGACAACCAATCTCCCTAACCTGTGTTAACCCCTTCCAACCAACCTCCCTACCCAGTGTTAACCCCTTCCCTACCCAGTGTTAACCCCTTCCCTGCCAGCCAACCTCACTACCCTGTGTTAACTCCTTCCCTGCCAGCCAACCTCACTACCCTGTGCCACCCAACCTCACTACCCTGTGTTAACCCCTTCCCTGCCAGCCAACCTCACTACCCTGTGTTAACTCCTTCCCTGCCAGCCAACCTCACTACCCTGTGTTAACTCCAGCCAACCTCACTACCCTGTGTTTACTCCTTCCCTGCCAGCCAACCTCACTACCCTGTGTTTACTCCTTCCCTGCCAGCCAACCTCACTACCCTGTGTTTACTCCTTCCCTGCCACCCAATCTCCCTACAGAGTGTTAACCCCTTCCCTTCCAACCAACCTCCCTACCCAGTGTTAACCCCTTCCCTGACAACCAATCTCCCTAACCTGTGTTAACCCCTTCCAACCAACCTCCCTACCCAGTGTTAACCCCTTCCCTACCCAGTGTTAACCCCTTCCCTGCCAGCCAACCTCACTACCCAATTTGTCATTACGGATTCTCATAGAGAATCACTGGAGCATGGCCATTGGTGGACAGACATTGTGGGCGTGTCATTGATTCTCATAGAAAATCCCTGGAGCATGGCCATTGGTGGACAGACATTGTGGGCGTGTCATTACGGATTCTCATAGAGAATCTCTGGAGCATGGCCATTGGTGGACAGGCATTGTGGGCGTGTCATTACGGATTCTCATAGAGAATCACTGGAGCATGGCCATTGGTGGACAGACATTGTGGGCGTGTCATTGATTCTCATAGAAAATCCCTGGAGCATGGCCATTGGTGGACAGACATTGTGGGCGTGTCATTACGGATTCTCATAGAGAATCTCTGGAGCATGGCCATTGGTGGACAGGCATTGTGGGCGTGTCATTACGGATTCTCATAGAGAATCACTGGAGCATGGCCATTGGTGGACAGTCTGGCTGAAATACAGTAAACTGAGAAAGCAAAGGGAGATAGGACAGGAAATCAGATGAGGAGCAGAAAATCTGATCAAAGTAAAAATGAAAACAGGTACTTCTAAAGCTCATTTGTACAGTATTTAGGGGGAAAAAAACATTTAGTAACACCAGAATATGTATTTTGTTTTACATATACAGTTCTTTTAAATAAAAGCCATTATTGCACATCCACATGTTGTATCCTTCTCACACCCCACTTCCCTCCGTCTCCTAATTTCCTTCCTCCTCTAGTTCTGCCACCTATATCTTATTAACCCATTTCTTTCCTTCGATTGAGATATGATTTTCTTTTATTAAGATTTTCTAGTTAGGTTTTTGATAGCTTGACACACTGGTTGTAATTGCTATTGGCTTCATGGATTATGTTGCTCAATTTGATCAGTACACGTCTGTTTGTACCTTTTTTTTAATGAAAACAAATGAACATTGTGAATATAAGTGTTGTTCAAGTTGACGGCAGGCTTTGCTTGGCTACTATCAGCTTCCCGAAAGCTCCACTCATGCTTTTATAAATTGAGCCACTGTATGATAGTTTGTGATGTGGCTCCCGCTCCTTCACAAACAAAAGCATAGTTTTATCCAGTGGCGGCTCTGTACGGTTGTGGGCTTATATCTCAGCGACAGTACAGGGACACATTGACAAGGAACCTCTAAACAATATACCGGTAATATATGAAAGTGGCATAAGTTGTTTTAGTGCATTGGGCATTCTTGCAAAGAGAACATTCTAACCATATGTCTCTTTCCAGTAGATGGATTCATAAAGAGAAATCCAACAGATGGACTTCACGCCTCTATATTGTCACCAGATTATTTAAACAAACACGTCAACATTAAACAGAAAAGAAAATGCTGCAGGCTAAAAAAAACAAAAAAGAGACAAAGCAAATCTTTGAGACAGGAAACTGCACCTTCTGGGCAAGGACTTTTCCAACAAGCAGACATTTACACACATGTACAGACGCAATATCAATCTACTCGTATTCAGGAGGCATCATCCTCACATGAAGAAGGAAAGTTCACAGATATTGACATTCATATACCCACAGAGCATACAGAGACAAAATCTCCATCTACTCAAGCCGTACAACAAGAAGAAAATCGCACAGACACTGACATCTATACACCTACGGAATTTACAAAGACAGCTTGCACATCTACTGATATCAAGGTGGAAGAAGGGACTCTTACAGAAACAGGCATTGGTATTACTTCCAAATATATACTAACAGAATATACATCTGGTCATATGAAGGACGAGCCAGCCTCATGCGAGGAGGAAAATCTCTCCGACATGGGTCATAGTACACCAACAGAGCACACACAGACAGACAGTCCATCTACTCATATTAAGGAGGAATCTGCCTCATATGAAGAAGGAAATCTAACAGACACTGACATTTATACACCTATGGAACAGACACAGACAGAATATGCATCTAGACAAATTAAGGAGGAATCAGGAACTCTCACAGACCTTTTTAATCCAATGGAATATACTCCTACTCATTTGTCTTATCCGGCAACACTTGTAGATGCACACTGGGAATTCTTTGGTTCTGACAATGATTTCAATAATTGCTTAGATTTTCCAGCAGAAAAAACATTTTCTTGCTCAGAATGTGGCAAGTGTTTCACGCAGGAGTCATATCTCCTCGTACATCAGAGGACCCACACGGGAGAGAAACCATTTTCGTGTTCTGTGTGTGGGAAGTGTTTTATTCGGAGAGCATATCTTAATACACATATGATAATTCACACAGGAGATAAACCATTTTCATGTTCTGAATGTAAAAAATGTTTCAATAGAAAATCAACTCTAGATAGACATCAGAGGATTCACACTGGAACAAAGCCTTTCTCTTGTTCCGAATGTGGGAAATGCTTCAATCAGAGATCAACTCTTGTTACCCATTGGAGGATTCACACAGGGGAAAAACCATTTACTTGTTCCCATTGTAAGAAATCTTTCAGTGATGCTTCAGGCGTTTTTAGGCACAACTTGATTCATGCAAATGAAAAAACATTTTCTTGTTCTGAATGTGGGAAGTCTTTTAGTCTGAAGTCTGCACTTAAAGCACACCAGAAGCTTCACGCAGCAGAGAAGCCATATTCTTGTTCTGAATGTGGGAAAGGTTTTAGTCAGAAGTCACATCTTATAATACATCATAGAATTCACACGGGAGAGAAAATATTTTCTTGTTGCGAGTGTGGGAAAGGTTTTAGTCAGAAATCACATCTTCTTAATCATCAGAGGACTCATACGGGAGAAAAAACATTTTCATGCTCTGAATGTAATAAGTGTTTCACTCATGAGTCAGGTCTCAATACACACCAGAGGCTTCATACAGGAGAAAAGGCATTTGGTTGTTCTGAATGTGGCAAGAGCTTCATTCAAAAGTCCCATCTTATTGTTCATCAGAGGATCCATACAGGAGAAAAGCTGTTTTCCTGTTCGGAGTGTGAGAAATGCTTCAGCCAGAAGTCACATCTTGTTGTCCATCGGAGGATTCACACTGGAGAGAAACCATTTTCATGTTTTAAGTGTGAAAAGAATTTTGGAACTAAAGATTGTTTGAACAGACATCTAAAAAATCACACATGTGAGACATGAACTTCATCAAAGTAGTCAAATATGGACAATGACTAACTTGGCTACACGGTAGCACACGTTAACTATCTTGGAGAAATTAAATGGACATTAGTACAAATGACAGATGTATTTTATTACAGCTCTGTGCATGTTTTTTTAAATATAGATTCATGATCAAGTATAATGCATCTTTTTGCTCATGTGTGGTCCACTAGAACAATTTAAATTCACTGAGCCTGACTTTATGAAATTAAATTGGCAACTTCTAAGCAAAACTGTTCAATATAGCATTTATTGCAGAAACCCAGATCGCAATTTTCGGACACCTCAGCTGGTCTTTTAGGAAATCGTGCAAGTCAGTGATCTCCAGCTCTCAGAATGTCTTTGACACCATTTCATCTTCACATAGATCATTTGTTGCTCTTACCTTTGCAACATAGCATGCTTGGTTGGTATTCTTGTTTTGTTTTTTTAACATCCCACTACTCTGTACGGTTTCTGACAATATGTTCTCAGTTTACTTCCATGTACTCTGATTGACTGTGATATTCTTGTTCTTTGTATGCTTAGCAGCAACTCCTACACATTCCTTGTGGTTCATCTCCTGAACACCAGTATTTGTTTCTTTCTAGCCAATGGAACCCATCGTCATGGACAATTCATTTCTAACTTACAGCTTAAAGATATCATCACGTGTGCCACTAAATGAGTCATAACCAGTATCTGAGGTAATATCCTGGGGCATAGGCAATACAATGTAATAAGCATTGTTTCAAGAGAATATCTTACTTTTCCATTTTGGGAATGTTTTACAAAATCTCAGTTCTCAATTAAGAACTCTGAACAAATGTAAAGGAACACTGTTAAGCACCGTACGCAATGTGTAGTACAGATTCTCGGTCCCCGGCAGCCTTAAATCTGTACTCCAGTGATTCTTGAGATTGAGGTGGAGCTGTGCTTCATAACTGTTCTCTACCTCTTGCATGGTGTGATGTGGAACATAACTGTTCTCTACCTCTTGCATGGTGTGATGTGGAACATAACTGTCCTCTGCCTCTTGTATGGTGTGATGTGGAACATAACTGTCCTCTACCTCTTGTATGGTGTGATGTGGAACATAACTGTCCTCTACCTCTTGTATGGTGTGATGTGGAACATAACTGTCCTCTACCTCTTGTATGGTGTGATGTGGAACATAACTGTTCTCTACCTCTTGTATGGTGTGATGTGGAACATAACTGCCTCTGCTATATAGTCATTGGAGGCCGGGTCTCAGGCAGCCAGACAGTGAGAATCTGTACTTAACAGTGAACAATGTGTACAGTGAACAGTGTAATAATGATGTGAGACCTGGCACCCATGCACTTCACACCATAACCACTTCAATACGTAGAAGTGCTTACTGTACCTACATGGTTTGTTTAATAGTTATCCATATTGCATATTGTTTGCATCTTGCGGTTTTGTTTGTTATCAGAAAGGCCATTTATCATTGTACGTACAAGATGCCAGAGCCCATGAATGCAGAAAATGATCAGATATGACTCAAATGTTGCAGTTACCTGGAGCTCTGTAGGTTATCAGATAAAGGAAGTATATTTGCTAATAACTAATAAATGAAAATAGTGTTGAATTATATAACACTCCGCATAGAATGCTGTAAGTAAAAATCTTGGTCCATCGGAATTCCCACTTAAGGATGCAATTTCACAAGTACTTCTGAAAATGGAACGTTTATAAACCGAGAGATATCATATTTGCTCAATGCACCAAATCTAATGGTTGCAAGACCAATTCCTGACACAGTCACTTTAGTCCTTTCAAGGTCAATAAAACGAGTACCACTCCAGTTGTGTAATAGTAATATCTATACCCTGCGACAGTCTGTTCCGGTACTTATCTGTTATACCCCTCCTCTTGCTTCAGTTTGTGGGGGCAGCACAGTACTTCTGGAACTCCACTGTTTTTATACTCACATCACTGCACTTAACGTTATATAGTGTTTAATGTTAGGCATGTTAGTGTTATGGCGAACGTCCTGTAAAACCCCCATAACTGTAAAGGCTGCCTAATCCCAAAGACACCCTCCTAAAACTAAAATCTCCCCAACTCTAAAGCCCCAATAATCTGTAAAAACGTTGACTTTCTAGATATAATTTTGGCCATTGTATCTCTGAGTTAATGGAAGTATGGTATTAGGAAGACTTCAGTAATTGATATGTTTACATAGTAAGTGAATGCTCCAAGTGAAATGTATGGCTGTTATTATTCTGTAATAATTCCATTCATATATTTTCTCATTATTATATCAGTAGCAAAGCATTATGTATGTTAGTATATACAGTGCAATAAAAATATACTGCAATATCTGTATTAAGTACTCCACTACATTTTATAATGCTCTGATTTCTTCATTTACAGGATTATTATATCATTATATTATTATAAGTGTGAGTTATTTGGAATTTAAACTGAATTGCCAACACTGAATAAAAAAACTGCAAGTACTTGTTGTTATTTATTGCAGTTTAACCCCATAAGGACCAAACTTCTGGAATAAAAGGGAATCATGACATGTCACACATGTCATGTGTCCTTAAGGGGTTAAAGAGATACTCTAATGATCAAAACAAGTGTTTGTGACTAAGTGGCTACTAAAAATGACTGGACATACCCCATTTGCAATACCTCGGGTTGTCTACTTTTGCAAATGGTATGCCATCATGGGGGTAATTCTTATTCCTGGGCTACCATACGCTCTCAAAGGAAACATAACCAATCTGGCAACTTTCAATGTGGAAAAAAATGAAATGCAAGCCTTATATGTGACTCTCTAACTTTACAAAACACCATAAAAACTGTACATGAGGGGTACTGTTATACTTGGGAGACGTCACTGAACACAAAAATAAGTGTTTCAAAACAGTAAAACATATTACTACAACAACAATATCATCTGTAAAAGTGCCGTTCGTGTGTGAAAAATGCAAAAACCGTCACTTTAACTAAAAATATTGTTGTAATACAAGTTACCATTTTGAAACTCTAATATTTGTGTTGAGCGAAGTCTCCAGAGTAAAACAGTACCCCCCATGTACAGGTTTTATGGTGTCTTGGAAAGTTACAGGGTTAAATAGAGTGCTTGCAATTCAAATTCTCTGCACTTTCTACCTGGGTTGTCAGGCATGTCAATCCAATTTTAACTAATTAAATCACATAATTATGTTAAAATATTACTTATAATATCCTGAATATACACGTAGAATTTTAATATATATACATATATATGTATTTAAAGTCTACGTGTACACTTATGTAGTTATTTATGTAATTATATATATTTATCTGAATAAAAGTCAGAAGAAGTGGAGCGATATTTAGGTGAACAGCCCCTTCCCACATGCAATCAAAATGAAAAAAATAAAGGAATGAATATACTTATACTCCTTAATGAGTAGTAGTTACACGCTCAAAATCATACGTTGCATATGAAAAAGAGAATTAAAAATAAAATAGTGTAATTCTGTATATATCTCATGTAGATCGCACTTCTATATATAGTGCTACTTAACATATATGTGATATACTTAGTAAGATGAAAATTTATTCACAATAAAATATTAAAAGTATAAAGTACACAGTTCATCAGGTTGAAATAAAAAAGGAAGTAAACAGATAGCTGCTTAATAGAATTGATGGTGAGCACAACGGTGTATTTACCCGTGTCTCACAAGCACGCTGTCCCACACTGGGAGATGTCAGAGTCAGGTGGAGTATCGGTATGTTAAAGATCCGCATTACGAGTTCATACGTTGTAGTGGAACTGCTGTTCCAAAACTCCCGGCTTCCACTCGGCTCCTCCCACTCCCTCCCATGTCTTGGCTATAGCCCGTGGAGGCTGCTCCTATACTAAAGGAGTGCGCTGAGTAGTCGCTAGGGTTTAGTTCGAGCCCGGTGAATGAGTAGATGGACATAGTGCATGAACTTACCTGTGGTAAGGACAGTATCGTACAGCGACAGTAATGGTTCAGTGGTGCGTATGGTGGCGTGCCCAAGAACGTAACCAGTACCTTAACCGGGCACCCAGCATTGCTTGTAAGGTAGTAGGTTATATGCACTGGCTCGCCCATCTGACTCGTCTTAGTTTTAGGAAGGGACCGGACATAGTGGTCTGTGTGTTTTAGAAGATAAGAGGTAAACAGGCACTCTTGTTTATGATGTTGGCTGCTGATAGTGAGCTATTTTTTGGCCTGAGAAAGCCGTTAAAGGCTAGATAGGTAGCAGTTTTGATAACTGCGTTGGTGCATAGCTCAGAAGGTGCATGGTCGAGTGGTTCTGACATGGTTTGAACATTGTATGTCTATGGCCAGTATTTAGTTTTAGCGGGAACGTCCGCTTGGCTATGTCACTAAGCAAGGTATAGATGGGGTAGGAGGATAGGAACCGTTGTTGTTTGGGAAGGAGAAATACGTATAGTGTTGAATGCCCGTGAGATACGTTTAACTGTGTTGTGTGAAAATTTTTAACTTAAGGTGGCAAAAAGAGGCGAAGGCCATAAGTGGTGAAAACTCAAACCAGCTTTCTAAGTGATGGTCCGACATGAAATGTATTGTATAAGTGGAAAACCCTGTAGCAAGCGTGTTGAGTGCTGGTGGACAAGGCCAGTTTTGTCAGAGCCCGGCTATGTTGGCGAGGTTCATATAATCCATGACCTTGACCATAAATGACCGCCCTGTCATGGCGGCTGTCACGGCAGCTGCCACAATAGTTTACCATTACGTGTGGTTAAGAACGTCCACCATATGTGTAGGTCTGCCATGGCTTGGTTGTCTAGGGACAGCCCCTAAACATCATGCGGGAGTGTGGAAAAAGCGAAGCGGTCTTAGATGAAAGCGCGGCCTGTGGTATGATGCACATAGAAAAATTTAAGGAACCTGGTAGGGATTGTAGTTCCGTGCGGTTGCAAGTACCAAGTAGGAGGTGGTAATTGGTGTTGTTGCGACTGTTCCTATTCTCACGTGGTAACTTGTTGTCATGGAGGCCGAGTCAAGTTGTATGCCCAGGAATGTAACGATAGTGTCTGGGTCTTCTGGGACCTTAGGGAATACTGGGACAGTCAAGTTGCTCTTGACCCGAAAGTTAAATGTCCTTTGTTTGGTGACAGGTGAGGCCCTGCTAGTTGCCAAGTGACTTGAGAGGCTCTATCTATGCAATGGCGCGAGGGGATTTTTGTGGCCACCAACGTTTTAGACGGTGTATGTGTGTATGTGTGTGTGTGTGTGTATATGTATATATATATATATATATATATATATATATATATATATACATACATATATGAGAAAATAAGGGTTTGGCTGCACTCACCTACACATGCTAAATTAGGGTGCTATATATATATACTTAGATCATATATACACTGCTCAAAAAAATAAAGGGAACACAAAAATAACACATCCTAGATCTAAATGAATTAAACATTCTTCTGAAATACTTTGTTCTTTACATAGGTGAATGTGCTGACAACAAAATCACACAAAAATTAAAAAATGGAAATCAAGTTTTTTAACTCATGGAGGTCTGGATTTGGAGTCACACTCAAAATTAAAGTGGAAAAACACACTACAGGTTGATCCAACTTTGATGTAATGTCTTTAAAACAAGTCAAAATGCAGCTCAGTAGTGTGTGTTTGTGGCCTCCACGTGCCTGTATGACCTCCCTACAATGCCTGTGCATGCTTCTGATGAGGTGGCGGATGGTCTCCTGAGTGATCTCCTCCCAGACCTGGACTAAAGCATCTGCCAACTCCTGGACAGTCTGTGGTGCAACGTGACGGTGGTGGATGGAGTAAGACATGATGTCCCAGATGTGCTCAATTGGATTCAGGTCTGGGGAACAGACGGGCCAGTCCATAGCATCAATGCCTTTGTCTTGCAGGAACTGCTGACACACTCCAGCCACATTAAGTCTAACATTGTCTTGCATTACGAGGAACCCAGGGCCAACTGCACCAACATATGGTCTCACAAGGGGTCTGAGGATCTCCTCTTGGTACCTAATGCCAGTCAGGCTACCTCTGGCGAGCACATGGAGGGCTGTGCGGCCCCCCAAAGAAATGCCACTCCACAACATAACTGACCCACTGCCAAACCGGTCATGCTAGAGGATGCTTCAGGCAGCAGAACGTTCTCCATGGCATCTCCAGACTCTGTCACGTCTGACACGTGCTCAGTGTGAACCTGCTTTCATCTGTGAAGAGCACAGGGCGCCAGTGGCGAATTTGCCAATCTTGGTATTCTCTGGCAAATGCCAAATGTCCTGCACGGTGTTGGGCTGTAAGCACAACCCCCACCTGTGGACGTCGGGCCTTCATACCAAGCCTGCTGGAGGTCATTTTGCAGGGTTCTGGCAGTTCTCCTCCTGTTCCTCCTTGCACAAAGACTGAGGTAGCGGTCCTGCTGCTGGGTTGTTGCCCTCCTACGGCCTCCTCCACGTCTTCTGATGTACTGGCCTGTCTCCTGGTAGCGCATCCATGCTCTGGACACTACGCTGACAGACACAGCAAACCTTCTTGCCACAGCTCGCATTGATGTGCCATCCTGGATGAGCTGCACTACCCGAGCCACTTGTATGGGTTGTAGACTCCGTCACATGCTACCACTAGAGTGAAAGCACCGCCAGCATTCAAAAGTGACCAAAACTTCAGCCAGGAAGCATAGGAACTGAGAAGTTGTCTGTGGTCACTACCTGCAGAACCACTCCTTTATTGGGGGTGTCTTGCTAATTGCCCATAATTTCCAACTGTTGTCTATCCCATTTGCACAACAGCATGTGAAATTGATTGTCACTCAGTGTAAGTGGACAGTTTGATTTCACAGAAGTGTGATTGACTTGGAGTTACATTGTGTTGTTTAAGTGGTCCCTTTATTTTTTTGAGCAGTGTATAATAAATATATATATGATCTAAGCATATATTATTTATTTTTACACTGATTTAAACTGTTTTATTTTATTTTCAGACAGCAGGGGGAGTACCTGTCCTCTCAAGGATCTCGCGATCACATGGCCCAGGGGGGGCCGAAGAGGACGGAGGGGGACTCCCTGGGCTCCCAGTTGAGTCCCCATACCGCGATCGCCGGCGACCGGGTAAGTAGAAAGGACAGCAAGTACAAAGGAAGCGGCGTTTAGAGCTGCTTCCTTAAGGACGGCATAGAATGCCCGCAGTCCTTAAGGGGTTAAAATGGAATGAGGCAAAAATGTGATTCTTTGTTAAACTTATTTGCATATGCACACCCAGAATCCTTTGCGGTAGTAACATCACTGCAAATGTGTGATTTCTGTGGGAAAAGCAAGTCTTATGGCTTGACTGGTGTGCAGATTTTTGTTTAACATTGTATTAACTATATATATATATATATATATATATATATATATATATATATATATATATATATATATATATATATATATATATATATATATATATATAGTTAAGATTGCCATTGATGCACTAGTGCCGATATGTTGATGTGGAAGTGTCCCCAAGCAGGGCTAATCACCACAGACCGGGGGCAGTCTGGAGGGTGGTTGTTGCAGTAATGTCACACCAATGGATCATCGGGAGTGCGGAGCTGTAGGTAACAGTAGAACCGCTCCCAAAACGCATAACTATAAATTCACATTATGTGACAAAACAAATTATAGGGCAGGAATAATTTCTCTTTATGTTCCTACTCCAGCCTTTGATGGGGATAAGTTCATCATCTTCTACAGCAGGGGTGTCGAAAAGTTCGATCCCAGAACTACAGCTCCTCAGTTGCTTTGCATGCCGTTAGAATGCTTTAGAATGACAAAGCATCATGGAAGCTGTAGTTTTAAAAACTCTGGGGATCTACCTTCTGGACACCCCTGTTCTACAGCGTGTTGTTTCTGATAACTAATGTTTTCTTGTAGGCATTCATTGATAAATACAAATACAAAAAGAGAAGTCCTGCGCTCACTCCCATCACTACTGGGCTGGCAGCAATGACTACAGTACACATCAGCCCCAATATATAGTAAAAACCAAAGTCATTGATAAATGACTCTGCAAAGTTCGCTCTTGCTACTTGCCTTTATTTATGCTTATTGTCTTTTCTTCCTTATGCCGGATCTCAGTACCTGGGCGCCTCCACGTTTTTCTCCTCTGTCCATGGTGTCTGCAGTTTGTCTTCTCTGGGATTCTTTTGGTTGACGGGTTGTGGATAAATAAGAATATGAACTAGTTTACATTAATATCGTGCCCATAGAGGTTGCTGCTATCACAGATCTACCTAGTGTTTTCTCCCCAAACTATAGGAAGTGAGAGCACAGAGACAGATGGATAGCAATGATAGAACTCTACCAGTAGGGGTCTCCCTTGCTCCTGAATAAGCATCAATATTAAAAGTCTAATCTAAAGAAAACGAATCAGTAAATCATAAATAAATTCATAATGTGGGGCAGGGACTTTGAAACACTGTTCCCTAATCTTGCTAATCTAAATAAAATGCTACCTCCAAGCCAATCATCATCATCATCTCATAGTGAGTAAGTAGCACAAAGTCAGACAGAGCGAAGCTAAACTAATTATTGGTCAAATCCAGTGTAACAGCAGCCACGAGTACAACATAATACCCATCGCGTGCCCATAGAGGATCACGATGATCCCGCGGATTTGGGCATGTGATGAGCACTTACCGTGTTTCCAGCTATGTACTTAAAGGACCACTATAGTGCCAGGAAAACATACTCGTTTTCCTGGCACTATAGTGCCCTGAGGGTACCCCCACCCGCCCGGCTCTGGAAAGGGGAA